TATATATATATATATAGACCTGTGAATAAAGATGGCAGGCCAGGGACCTGGTATTGTACCCCTGTGTGAGTCAACGAAGTCTGGGACTTATATCAGTTGGGAGCGGCGCCCCAAACTTCTTCCCGGACGCGGGCTAAGGTAGCCAGGTTGGCTTGAGTTTCCCTGTGGAATGTGACTGCCCACAAATAGAACAAGAGTTGACCACACGTGTGTGAGAATTGTCAGAGAAACTTAAATGGTGATGACATATTCTGAGGATTTTTGAAGAAAAAGGTTTTAAGAATTAATAGAGGCTAACTATGACAAGGTCGGGCGTTAAGGACGAGTGAGTGGATTGAGTTCAAGAGCTGCGCAGCCAAAGAGTGTGCATTTGAAAGAAAACGCCGTGCAGTGTGGTTTTCTGTTTCATTGGTTCGCCGCCGTGCGAACAGTGTTTTCTCACCACCGAGTGAGAACGTGGGTCATTGTGTGTAAAAGTGTGAAGTCAGAAAGATAGACATGACAAGATGAACGGTGAATTTGATGCAGACATTGATGCTTCAGGGTGGGGCCAGGGACCCTGGCTCCCTCTCAAAACTCAGATTGACAAATTAGTAACGTACAAAGTACCTGACAGACCATGACGACTTGACAAAGAAAAAAATCAGAAAAAATAAAAAAGAAGATAACTCAGGCAGTAGTGAAACAGGAAGCCCCACTGAGTTCATGCAAACCTTTAGGATGATTTTTACTAAAACAACTGCGAACGCTGAGACAAGAAGTAACAAAAAATATGCAGAAAAAACAAGAAGCGAGCAGGCTAGGAAAAAGAAAATGTAAAAGGGGCAGAGAAGAAGCAGAGAAACAGTTGAGAAAGTGTGAAAAATATATCGTATCATGGCAAAGGATTAAACACACTCTGGAGCAGGCAAAACCAGAAGTGAAGGGTAGAGCAGCCACACAGTAAGTGAAGTAGTCTCTGCCCCCGTATCTGGGGCCGGAACAAACCACCTCGAAGGAAGGGACCTCCTATGAGAAGGAGGAACCTTCCCCGAGGGGGCTATACCCATCAATCGAACTAATACAAGGGACTCTGGTTTTAGAAAACACCAACCCAGTCAGACGAAGAGCAGCAACAGTATTCGATGACCAGCCTGACCTGTTTAGTGCATCTTCGGTTCAAAGCAGAGGGTCTAGCACCCCTTACACATATCAATTCAATTCAGTTTATTTATATAGCGCCAAATCCCAACAAAGTTGTCTCAGGGCACTTTACAGAAAAATTCACATACATGAAGGCCAATTAGTAAAGTTCTCTATCTTACGAGACCAGCAGACAAGTTGAATCTTGGCTTTGTGGCAGTCTCCCATCCTGAGCAAGCACAGTGGCAACAGTGGAAAGGAAAAACTCCCTTTTTAAAAGAAAGAAACCTCCAACAGAACCAGGCTCAGGACAAGTGGCCATCTGCTTTGAACGGCTGGTCATATCAGAAAAGAGGGGCAGAGGGTGGCAATCAGATAAACCCCAGTTGTGGTCAAGGCCTAAGAACAAAAGCTGAAGCAAAAAAGATAGAAGAGGAAATCAAAGAAACTTTAGACAAAACAATGATTCGAAGCAAGGAGATGATTGAACAATGTGAGCGGAGGATGGAAAAACTAGGACGTGAATTTAGTGATATATCAAGAAGACAGCAGGCTAGAGTATCATTGACCGCTAGATGTCACCTGATACCTGAACAGGAAGAACAAGAGAATTTCCAAATTATAACAGAAGAAGCAATAGATCAGGAAATCGACAGGATGAAAAGTACTCTGGACCCCTTGCAGGAGGAGGTCCTTTCTAGACCGGTTCACCCCTCCAGTAGAACCCACACAATGACAAAAAGAGGAGTAGATAAAAAATTTGATGAGGCTGAGTACATGTTTCCGTAACTACAATCATCTGGAAGTCGCCAGAAATATGTGCCCTTCCCGGTGGGAGACAGAGATGCTCTGGTTGACAAACTCCCAAGCATCTCTGCAGGAGGCAGATTGTGGCTTTCTGAACTAAATGGTCTAACCAGTGGAATGTCCCTGGCCCTAGTAGACTTTAGAGCAATCCTGGGACGGTATGTGACGCCCCTGGTGGCCAGAGAATTAGAAACAGTAGCACGCACCAGTAAACTGGGCAACGAGGTCCCACTGAGTCGAGTAATAACAGAGTTAGGACGTGCAATCAGAGACCAGTACCCATTATCCA